GAACCAGACAGCTACTTAGGTACACCTGCCTGTAAGGTTCAGGGGACAGGAAGTGGTGCTTACTAGCACAGAGATGAGCAAGCTCAAAAGCATACCGGATTTCACATTCCATCTGTTACCTTGTGACCATGAGTAAGCTATTTCACCTCTATGCCCTTCTCCAGTCCAGAGCTAAAACAGCTACTTAGATGATGCTTTGCTAAAAAGCATTGACAGTTCACTTTGGTCCACAAACTAGCCACAGAATAACAAATAGCCTAGTATCCTTCCTTCTTCTTCTTCTTCTTTTTCTTCTTCTTCTTCTTCTTCTTCTTCTTCTTCTTCTTCTTCTTCTTCTTCTTCTTCTTCTTCTTCTTCTTTTTGTTTTGTTTTGTTTGGTTGGTTGGTTTTTGAGAGACAGGTTAGGTTACTCTGTAACAGCCCTGGCTGTCCTAGAACTCACTTTGTAGACCAGGCTGACCTTGAACTCTCTGAGATGTGCTTGCCTCCGCCTCCCAAGTGCTGGGATTAAAGGTATGCACCACCACTGTCCAGCCTTTGCTTCATTTTTGATCTGTCCATCTCGTCTACTGTGGGTCATCTGCTAAATACTACCCATAGATGTGTGTGCAGTTCAGGGAGTGTGTCTAAATGATCTCATACTCTTTCAAGATTAATAAGATAGACATAGGTCATTGTCTACAGTTACCTTGGATCCCAAAAAAACAGAAAAACAAGTTAAGGGCAATTATCTATGATGCCAAGGCTGCACACTGAAGAAGAAGTGATCATCTTTCCTAAGAAACAGATTGATTCCCTCCAGCAATGACAGCAGTAAGGCCTTCCCATGGGTCACCTTGCAGAACTGGAGCGAGACAATGACCAAACACACTTTGACCAGGATGGCTTTCTTGCTCCTACACCCATATTTCCTCTATTGAAACCTGAAGTTTATATCAGTGTCCCAGAAGACTGCTTGGGGGTCACTAGAACCCTTTATTTGTTCCTCTTTTCAATGTGACCACACTAATAAATGTCCTCTCTCTACTTTTGCACCATTAGTTATTGCCTTAAGGGGTGGATTGGGGGTCAATGGCCAAACACAGTCTACTGGGGCTGCCTCTCAACGTAGGTATACGCAAAGGTCCAGACTTTTGCCCTGAAAACTCAAGCCAGAGTGAAACTGTGCCCGGCGTGAAGTGGAAGAAACGGAGACTATCGGTCCCCAGTTTTCCTTCTATCCAACAAGGAAAGAACCCTATTCATAGCTGTTCTGTGTCTTCTAATGACACAGTAATGAAGTTGGGGCATTGAATGATCAATCTAAAATAGTCCAACATGAGTAAACCTACCACGGAAATAGTAGGAAATTGTCTCTCATTTACATGTGTCACTAAAGGGTACGGCTTGGTGGGTAAAGGTGCTCGCTGCTGTGAAAAATGTTTGTTTCTTCTATCAACAAAAGTCCATAACCCTGAACCTCCCCCATCAACAAAGGTCTATATCCATCAACAAAGGTCCAGATCCCCTGAACCTCCTCCATCCCCTTCACACTGATCAGCCAATCATATCAGATTGTGAAGTTGAGTTTCCACCAAGAGGATGAAAAATAACATCTGTCAATATCTTCCTTTTGTACAGCACTGAGAATTATTTTCCAGTTGCCAAGCCTGGCCAATAACCTGAGTTCAGCTCCTTGATTCTGCATGATGCAAGGGGAGGACCAATTCCTGAAAGTTGTCCTCTGATCTACACATGTGCACTGTGGAATAAACACATGCTCACACGCACGCACCCACACTCACAAGCGCACACACAAGTAAAATAAATAATAGAAAAAATTGCTAAAGTGTCACTAAAAACAGGTCTCCTGGTAGAGAAAAAAGAAAGGCTCAAAGAGGTTAGTCCAGGCCACAGAATTAACTGCTGTACATTACATTTCATGCGAAATTACTCATGTGGCCACCGTTCTCGGACAGCCACAATGCTAGATGCCCTGAGAAAACTAATCGTTCCTTGACACGAGCCAGTTTTAAAAGCTTCTATCAAAAACAGAAATCTGGGCAATCGTGGTCATGCAGCCTACACCTGTACTAGGGAGACGGGGTGGGAGGATCAGAAGTTTGGAAGCAGCCTGGCCCTACAGCCAGCAACACCCTGTCAGAGAGACTGCCTCTGCGCTAATATCCAAAGTACTCACCTTCAGAAGTGTCCATACCCAAAGCTCTTTCCAGATCACTCACCACCTTCCATAGAAGGGAACAATGGTCTCTTAATCAGCCTGCTAGTGATGCATTTGGCATTCTAGGTGAATTCAAAGGATGAATGTCTTCAAACATGTCCCCACAGATTTTTGAGGTCTAGCCCACCTGGCACCCTTAGCAGGGGGTGAGGGGTTGTTTCCTGGCAGAGGCTCTGGCCCAGTCCACCATAACACTAAAGACTGGGATCCATCCACAACTGGGTTGCATCCACACTGGCACGTGGGTTCATCAGCCTCACCTACGAAGCTATAACAGAGTCCTTCCCAAAGGAAGGACTTAGGCTTTAGAACCTGCACTAGCCAGCAGGGATGACTTGACCAAAGTCACATAAGCAGGGGAATAGTTACAGAATAGTTCCCGAACACAAGCCCAAGAGGCCTCTCCTAAGCTAGCAAAATCATGCAACCAAACACCTTTACACAAAGGGTCAGCTAGGGACTCCAACTCCAGTGCTAACCAGACAGATACAATAGCCCTAAGGGGTCCTCACTGCCAATCCCTAGCTGTTCCCTGCCCCCAACAGCTAGCAGGATACCATCCTCTACCAGAGACAAGCTTGGAGCTCCACACACAAGCGCAACCATAGAGAGCCCAGGACACCTAATGTCATTTTTATTCTACCTCAGTACTTGGTTTGCTGCCCTACAAGACAGCTGCTTAGAAAGAAGACTCCAGCAACCAGTCAAATTGGGAAAGAGCTAAACTGAGTCAGGCAAGTCTGGGCATAAATCAAATTCTACGTTTTCTGATGTCTTCCGCTTCTGGTTCTGCTCGGAACCAGTACCATCCCCTGCTCCACCCCGTTTCAACCACCAAATGCGTGTAAGGACACTGTGATTAAGCAGGCTATAAGACGCCAACACACAAGAATTCTTGCACCTGTTCCCCCCAGATAACAGGACTGAATGCTCAAGGTAGGTTCTGGATGCTCCCAAAATACGCAAGATACAGGAAACTTGGCTGATCTTTCTGGGCCGCGCCCAGGGCCCAGGAATCTGCCGCACTTCGCTCCTGCCCCAACTCGCTTAATCACTGCCTTGGCTCTGTGCCTGTCACCCAGCTGCTGACTTGATTTGAACTTTTGGATTCCGAATCCTAGCTGGCAGCCCCAGGTGGAGGTGTGTATCGCTCCCTAGCCCACAAGGCATAGGTCAGGAAAGGAATTCGAGTGGAAGAGTCCTTGAGAATAGCAGAGAGGGTCAAACACCGAGAGCCGTACTCCCTTTAACTCTCCCAAGAATCAGGAAGGTCCATCTAAGTTCCACAAAGGGTTCCCTGTTGAGTACCCAGCTGTACTGCCTGTGACTCAGGCAATGACTCAGCAGCCCACTGGAAGGGCATGTAGGCAGGCTTTTCAGCTGGTTTTAGAAGCAGGGGCTCCTGTGCCAAGGTACCAGCACAGCTCAGTTCAGAGGAATGTCCTCCCCTGCCTCACTTGCCCACTGCCTGCGATTCATACACCTGGCATCCCAGCAGGGCCACGTGGTGGACCAGAGCAAATAGACAGGGGCAACAAGAGCCTCACTTCCCAACTGGGATGAAGTCATTGCACGGAGAGAGAAAGGATGCAGGATCCAGGACCCGGGAAGGGGTGGGGATGGCCGGGAAGTCAGCAAGCCTGCCTGCCTGCCAGGCTGCAGCAAGCTAGCTTCTGGAATTAGAAAGAGAAGAGCCAGTACCAGGACGGGAAACAAAGGGGCAAACTAGAGGGCACAATGAAAGCCCCAGCGTGAATCATTCTGAATGGTGTACAGAGACTCAAAGAGCATCTTGCATCTCCCCCACCCCCTCTCCCCACCTCTCACTTTTCCTTCTTTCTTTATCCCTCTCTTTATTTATGAGAACTCAACTTTGGACACTTTCCCTAGCAAATGCGCCCTAACAGAAAGCTTTTGCCACAACCAGCCTGAGCCAAGACAACCCCGAGAAACACTGCAGAGCCTTCTGCAGCAGCAACCTTTCGGTTAATCTACCCCTTCTCTACGGGGCCTCTAAAGGTCCTGCTGCATCTCTTCCATACAGGCTACCAGGAGAAGCCTGAGAAACTTGCTTTCTTTCCCAGCAACCTCTAGATCAGCGAAGTCAAAGGGGCTTCACTATGCAAGATGGACATTGTGCTCTATGTCAGAGAAGGGAGGGCCAAGCCCCTCATCGGATCGTCATTAAAGAGCATCCGGGTCATTCACGGAAAGAAGGGTGTTGATGGCACACAGCTTTGATCCCAGCGCGTGGGAGGCAGAGACCAGAGGATCTTTGAGTTAGAGGCTAGCCTGGTCTACATAGCAAGTTCTAGGATGACAAGGAGGGCCTTCTTGATAGTAAGAAATGGCTACCAGCAACATCTCAATTTGCTCAGCCTTGTTTTGGCACTCTGGGCTTTCCCTCCTTCATCCTGGTTACAGTCCTGCTGAGAGGCGACAAAGGGTACCATTTGATTGTTACACATTAACTCAAAAAGAGCTCCATCCCATGAAACAGACACCCTACTTCTTACTTTTTGAAGAGGGACCTGAGTGGAGGACCGGCGAGGTTAATCACATTCACAAGGAGACTCAATCCTAGCTAGGCTCTTAGCTCTATCCATGTACTGACCTCTACGCTTAACTTCCTATTTGCTTCAAGCCTTCAAATCAGAGAGACTCCGACCGGCCCCGAGACCCCAGCTTCTCAAATCGTGAGAGATCATAGAACCAAAGGCGGATACAAAACGGTGGTCAAAAGCCAAAGGGGTTTGAATGTGCGAGAGCCAACACTTACGTCAAAACAAAAGCAGGAAGACTCCAAGCGTTTCTGGCAGGGCTCAGCCAGGGTGCATCACATGACTTCGGGGCAGCCTGAACACACTTGCACTTTGGCCCACACATTTTGTCACTCCATTCAGCATCCGTGAACATACCTGAAGTACCTGACCTCAGACTCGGGACTAATCCCTGTTAAAAAATACAGTGTTTTACTAAACATACAAAACTTTCTATTCTTTTAGAAACACAGTAGTTAAAATATCAGAAACAGATACAGTTTCTTCTATCATCAGTCACCAACATAAAAGTATCAAATTCATTTATCTTTCCATGCCTTGGGTTAAAATGGACAGTTTTGGAAACTGCAGTTTGAGTTGCAGTCTTAAGTTTTGCTTTGTTTTTTTAAAACGATATGTTTTGGGCTGAGAGATGGCTCAAAGGTTAAAAATATTTCCAGAGGTCCTGAGTTCAATTCCCAGCACCCACATGGTAGCTCACAACCATCTATAATGAGATCTTCTGTTATGCAAGTACAGATGCAGGCAGAACACTGTGTATGTAATAAATAAAATAAATCTTAAAAAAAAACAATATATTTTGATCATATTCTTTCCCCTCCCAAATCCTCCTAGATTACTCTCCCTATCCCTCGCCTCCACCACACACACACTCACATTCATATACACTTCAAAGGAATTACAAGTTGGGGATGAACACAGGACGGGATTTCCAGCAACTTCTACAGTGGCTTTAAAAATACTTATACATCTGGGAGGTAGTAGTGCACACTTTTAATCCCAGGACTCACGCCTTTAACCCCTGGCAGGCGCAAGTGAATCTATGTATTCAAGGCCTGTGTGGTTTACAGAGTGAGTTTCAGGACAGCCAGGCCTACCCAGAGAATCCCTTTCTTGAAAAAAATAAGGAAATAAATAAATACTTTTATCATTTTCTGCTGTGTCTTTATGTGAAGCAAAATATTAGCAACAACTGCAAAACATTAAAGATGTTATGTTCTGCAGGACCAAACACACAGCCGCCATACTTTATAAACAATAAACAAATACATTCTATGAAAGTTCCAACTTCAATATATGATAAAATCACAAGCACACCAAGGAACTGCTCTAAAATTGATTTCTTTAGGCTTATCAATAAATCTTTGCCTCATATACTTATTTTGCTACCTGTATATCTGGGATTGCATGAAAGTTTCTTTGGCAAAAGCTGACCACATAATTCATTGTGTAAAGGCACTTGCCGTAGAGCCTAAAGACCCCAAAACCAACATAGTAGACAGAGAGAAGCGATTCCCCAGAGTGGTACTCTTCCACATGTGTGCCCTGGCACTCACTCCCATACATAAATACAAAAGATAAACAAATAGATAGTAAGTAAATAAACTTAAATGAATCTAAGGGAGCGAATACTCATAGCCGTCTTGTATTGTATAAAACCATGCATGCACTAATTCTGTGCTCTGAAAATCACCATGTGCTTCACAGAAATCAAGTAAAGTCTCTCCTTGGAGGCTGGAGAGATGGCTCAGTGATTAAAACCAGAGTTCAGTTCCCAGTATCCACATGTGGCAGTTCACAACCACCTTTAACTCCAGCGCCAGCGGGTGTGATGCCCCCTGCTGGCCTCCCAAGGCATTGCGTGCATGTGCACATACACAGAAATAAACATTGAAAAAAAAAATCTTGAAAATGTGTCTCATTCTTCCTGTCTGTGAAGACAAATCCAGGCACAAACATACCTGTGCTCCAACAGAGGCAAGAGGATTACTGGAGACCACGAGTTCTAAACATAGGCAACACAGAGCGATCCCATCACAAAACCAAACCCAGTACGTGAAAACATCCGCTAAGCTGACACTCAGGTCCACACAGTTGCTGTGCATTCACATCAAACCACAGAACTCTGTGCTGTAAAAATATCAGTTATTATTATTTATTTATTTGTCACTGTGCCCAGCTTAAATGTATTTATTCATTCTCTTGTTTGCTTGTTGATTTACCTGATTTGTGTGTGTGTTTTGCCTGGTGCCTGAGGAGGCCAGAAGAGGAGTTAGTTTCCCCTGGAGTTCCAGATGGTTGTGAGCCACCATGAGGGTGCTTGGTTATTTTTTATCATTAGCCATCTTTTCCAGGGCTTCTGAATCAAGGTCAGTGGCACCATAACGAAAAGCGCAAGGACAGACAAGCCAAGAGCAAAGGTTTGTGATGCTGGATTCGGAAGGCCACAGAGACGACAAGGGTTTCTTTCCCATACCAACAGCACTGCCTGCTTTTAGAAGTCAGCGCTTGCTTGGGTACTGGCAAAGTCAGCTAGACTCTAGCTTTGATTTTGATTCCTAGCTGCCATCCCTCACAGCCCTTGCTCAGGTATCCATTCGGGGGACTGTATCCCATTCTACACATACACAATCTCCCTTCCTTCCTTCCTAAGTCCTTGTTTCTTCTTCCAGCCCCTTTCACCTCGATGGCAGAGCCAGTATAATGGCAGAGCCAGTATAATGGCAGCTGACTGACAGGGGACCTAGAGGTTTCTGAGGGATCCAGCTTTAATCTGATTACAAACCAGTCCTTCCACCTCCTGGGAACACCTTGTTCTGAAGGCAGCTGGCTCCAAGTTCCATTTCAGCCTCAACAACAGCAAGCTGGGAAGACTGGGGGGAAGGGGACAGTAGTTCTTCCTACACTGTTTGCGAACACCCCAGCCCACTCTGGGGATCCAGAGCAGAGAAAGGTCCTCAGAGGTTTGAGGGGGGGAAAATAACGAAAAAACCTTGGATGCAGGCTTTCCGTGGCACTGCCGTACATCAGCAGACCCGAAAGTTAGTAACACCTGCTCTTCCAAACATCCTGTTCTTGTTTCTTGTTCACTCCTTAGATAGACCCCATCTCCTCAGCTCTGCTCTCAGCTACCACCAACAAGGAATGAGACTCTCTGCCACCTTCCCAGTAGCTCCTCATCACACACCGGGACCCCTGGGACCTGTCCTATTGCCCACACCCGCACCTACACCCTGGGTGACAACTTTACTTGTCCCCGGACCTGACATTCTCTCCCCTTCGGCATCCAAAGGTCCTTTCCACACTGCTGTACCACAGGGCAGTTGGTCCCCTTCCTTCCACTACAGCCCTAGGTAGGGCGTTCATCGGGACAGTTGGGATGAGTGCTGGCCCAGCATTTTTATTCATTACTAGTGATTGCGTGTCTATGTTCATGCGTGTGGGTGGGGACACATGTGCCTCAGCATGTAAGTAGGGGTTATAGGACAACTCTGTAGCATTAATTCTTTCCTTCTGTCTATGAAGACTCAGACATGGAGCTCAGGTCACTACCCGGATGAAGGAGGAGTCTGCCCACTGAGCCACCTTGCTGGCCTAGGCCAAACACTTTGTAGGTGTACTTCTCACAGAATTTGTTTAAGGGGTCCTTGGCAGGCTGTGACAAGTAAGGGCTGCACATGACCTGTGAGTATGTCTCTACAAACTCTATCCAGTCTTGAAGCCTCTGACATCCCCATAACCATAGACTACAAAGACCGTCACTTACATTAGTGGCTAAGGAGTTTGGGCAAATGTGTGTTTGTCCGTTCCCCCCACCCCTCTACTCAGGCAAACAATGGTGTGATTTTGCACTTTGCTTGGGTCTCAACAGTATCATCCCCGGATCCGCCTGTGCATGCACACACGGGGACGCCTCTTTCCTTCCCACGTCTAGCCAGCTGGACTATGTGTCATTGTTTCCTGAATCGATCTTTCATTCACAAAATTGCTCCCCATCTTCTGCCACTGTGAAAATGTAAGCAGGAATCAGCTTGGGAACAGGTCATTTGGTACAGATGTCTACAGGTACATCTGCTGGGGAAATAGCTCAGGGTACCAGTGGGAAATTAGAAGGCCAAAGGATGCATGCTTTTGTAATATGGACAGGGGGGAAAAAGCACCATATTCCAGTTCACATTCCCTCAGCCTGGTATGCATCAGAGGGTCTACTGTCCCATGGATTGCAAAAGAGTCCATTACTGACTTGTGTATAGTGTAGTCTCAGTGGGAAAAAGCAGTTATTTCAATTTGTCTTTCTCTGGGTAGAAGCATCTTAGGTTTTAAGGATCATTAAGGGACCATCCCCCCCCCTTTTTTTTTCAGACAGAGTTTCTCTGTTTAACAGTCCTAGTCCTAGGTGTCCTGGAACTCGCTTTGTAAACCAGGCTGGCTGCCTCAAAATCACAGTGCTCTGCCTGCCTCTTCCTCCCGAGTGCTGGGATTAAAGGCGTGCGCCAACCACACCCTGCGGGACCCTTCTGTTAAAACAGTCTTAAAGCTCCGGGAGCCTCAGTGTCCCTGGCGTGGGCTGGTCCTGCCTACCTGCATCCTGCGTGGACAGCCACGCCCCTGTCTCATCTCCTAGCATTCTGCACTGTTTTGAGGCTCTCTGAGCTGTGGGTAGGATTTGCTCCTCACGGGGGTCAGCCTGCAAATGTTTTCCACTCCAACAGTGATTTATAAAACTTAAAACGTGCATTACAATGAGGTCTGATGGTCGAGCCTTCCAGAATATCCTCCCTGGAGACAGACAGCTCCTTTCTCTTCCCTGCCAGTTACAGGCCTGCAGGCATATAAAGGCAGGCCCGGTAGGGGCTCATCTAGGCAGTTGGCCTCAAGTAGCCTCCTCCAAAGTGGGATCTCTTGGGCAGAGCCCAGGTTCCCATCCCACAGAAAGGAGGGAGACAACAGAGTCCCAACCTACACCCAGGAACTTCTTCCACATTCAGCCCAAGGTCATATGTAGAGTGACCCTCTTCTTTCTCTGGCTCATCCTTGCCCTTCCCACCATCCTGTTTACTCCTCTACAACCCAGGAACCCTTCTCACAGTGATTCTGAACCTGTGGGTAGTGGACCCATTCGGGGTTGAATAACCTGACCCTTTCACAGGGGGTTGAGTATCAGATATTTACACCAGGATTCATAACAGTAGCAAAATTACAGTTATGAAGTACTAATTAAAATAATGTTATGGTTGCAGGGGAGGGGAGTCACCACAGCACGAGGAACTGTATTAAGGGGTTTGCAGCATTAGCAAGGCCGAGAATCACTGCATCTAGGCCATCCTTTCCAAATGCCACTGACTAACTGTCTCTGAGACCAGGAAGAATGCAGTGGGCTCTCGTGTACTG